TAGACACCAGAGATAGTGTGAGAAGAGGGTGGGAAAGGACAGAGGGTCAGAAAGAGGGGTAAAAATAATTCTAGGAACTAGAAATGGAAGAATTTTTATGATATGCATGATTAAGTCACTGTGCAGTATATTCTGGATGGGAAGTCACATTCTGTGTGCTGTGATGATGCTTGGGGAAAGAATGTAAATTAAGTTACAAAAAAGTTTCAGAAAAAAAAAATCTATTCAATGACTGCAGTAAGATATATAGCCCCAGCTAGGTGCTACTTTATAGGGTGCCTAAAGTTAGACTTGTGTTCATGGAAATGTATATATCAGCTGTGTTTGCTATGAAAATATTTAGATTAATTAAGGTCTTTAGTAATTAAATAAAATGTAGGGAGAAAACAGTATAGAAAGCAAACATAGTTACCAGAGACAGTGTGGGAGGAGAGTGGGAGATGGCAGAGGGTAAGAGATAGGGAATCAAGGATGGGGGGGGAAACAGAGAAAACAAGAAATGGAAAATTATTTGCTGACAACATGTTTGTTGATGTGCTTGATTGAGACGATATACAGTGTACTCTGGATGGAAAATCCCATTTTGTATGCTGTAATGATGTACAGTGAATGAATGCAAATAAATAAATTTAAATTTTAAAAAAAGTACAGGGTCAGCAGGTGGCATGGTGGTTAAGGCATTGGATTCCCACATGGCCAACTGCAGTTTGAGATCCAGACCCAGCAGCTTGAAAATCACGCCAGGTACATGTGCATACATCCCAAAATCCTAAGAGGAGAGTAGAGAAAGACCATGCTGCCATGGGTGATTTCTCATTTTCCCTCTCTCTGTCTCTAGCAAGTACACATGCCTTATGGCAAAATCTGAAAGAAAGAAAAAAGAAAGAAAAAGAAAAAAAAATAACAGTATATTTAGCATGGTAGAGTCAATGTGTATGGTTTGGCTAAACCAACAGTCATGGGTCAGAAACACACTGTGACATTGGCTTACTATGTAACCTTAAATATGTTAATTAACCTCATTGGCGTTGGTGTTATTATCTGTAAAATATTTCTAATACTTTGTAAAAATTATTACAGAAATTAAAAGATACAAATTATATAAATCACTTAGCTCATTTTTTTAGCACTTAATGTGCTTTCAGTACTTTGTGGCTATTCTTCTACAGCAAGAATTACTGAGTATCATGGAAAATTTTTATATTAGAATATGTCACCCATATGATAGAGAAGAAATGTTTTCAGTAACCTCAAGCACTGCTTAGTGGCTATTATCTGACCCAATTAAGAAAATGATTGGATTTCTTTCTCTGTATATGTATGGTTTGTATGCAAAAGTTATGTCAGGATAGTTCCAGGTTACTGTTTTCAACCACTGGATTATAAATAGTACTATACTGAGCTGTTGCAAACTTTAAATAGTCTGTGAACAAATTATCCTGCAAAACAGCTTCCAAATGTAAATCTGTATTTGTATCTAACACACATCTGTCCAACCTGCTTTGATGGCCCTTTTTTGGGATCTATGTAGGGAATTGGTTCATTGTATGTTCTTGCATTAGTGTTAATGAATTTAGCATAAAATACACGTCCTCTCCCAACACATGGCTTTGAAGGTTGTAAGCTTTGTCCAGGTTTTTTTTCATGTTTGATTTCTTCTTTTTTTTCAGTTACACACACTATAGCAGCATCTTCTACTTTATGCTGTCTGAAAAACATAAATATTAAATCATTTACCCCAACAAATACTTTAGTACTCAGTCATAATTACATAAAATCAGTTTTTAAATACATTTTAAATTATGACCAAAACAATTTAGGTTTTATTTATCATTTCAAGGGTCTTGTGCTATTAAAATTTGGGAGAGTATTTTCCCATTCTAAATCATATAAAAGATAAAGGGATTTGTGTTAATAATGATTATTCATTACAATATACAAGTATATGATACACATTTCCTTGGAATCAAGAGGAGTGGCTTGATCATACAAATCATGTGTCCAGTATTTATTTTATGGCTCAATTACATGATAATGTTATTTTCTTTCAAAAAGTGTTGTTATAAGAAATGGCTTTCTTCTCATTTTACCTAGTAAACTCAGCTATCCTGACAAGCATAACAGGGTTTGAGGCCTGGCACCAGGGGCTTGAAAGTATAACTACAGGGTGTGAACCTGTATCTGTAATGCTTGGGACGAGCATCTCTCAGATTTAGGATTTGTTTGGATCTGGGAACATTTGTATATACATAATGAGATATCTTGGGGATGAGGCCCAAATAAAAACATTAAATACTTTCATATTTCATAAACACCTCATATATATAGCCTGAAAATAATTTTATGCAATATTTTTTGTATTGTGGTGTTTTGATTGTGACTTATCACATTAGGTCAGCTGTGGAATTTTCCACTGTAACATCAGGTCAACACTCAGAAAGTTTCAGATTCAGGGTCCAGCCACAGAGTTGAGTGCTGCTAAGATGCTGTGCTCTGCATACTCAGACTACGTGGGAGGCCCCCGCTGAATTCCCAGCTCAACCTAAGGCCTGACTGTGGTATAATGCACCTGTAATTCCACCAACTCGGGGAAGCTGAGGCAGGAGGACCATGAGCTTGAGGATAGCCTGGGCAATACAGCAAGAGCATGTCTGCAAAAGGGCCAGAGGGGTGAACTTACAGTCTCAACTGGGAGGCTAGGGCAGGAGCATTTGTGATATCACTAGAGCTTGTCTCAAGAAAAAAAGTTTTGCACTCAAATTTTTAATTTTGGAGCATTTCAGATTTTGAATTTTCAGAATAGAGATGCTCAACTTGTATTTAATTTTTAAAAACTCACCTGGCACAGGACCAGCAGTTGACATAATGGCTATGTCACTGGACTCTCATGTAGTTGACTGCAGTTCGAGTCCTGGACCTGGTTAGCTTAAACTCAAACCAGGCATGTGTGTGTACATGCCCAAGATGCTGAGAGGAGAATGGAGGAGAAGGGATGGTGGCGTGGCCATCCTCCGCCGGAGGGTGATTTCTCATTTTCTGTCTATCTGTCTCTGTCTGTCAGGTGAGCACATGTGCCCTATAACAAAAATCTCTCCCAAAAAAAAGAAGAAAAGAATTTTTTTTAAAAAAGCTCACCTGGTAGGCTAGGCCTTTGGCCTGCTGGTTAGGAAGCCAGGTCCCACATGAGTGACTATAGGATTTGAGTCCTGGCACTAGTGGCTTGAAAATAAGCTGGGCTTGTGTGTGTGTGTGTATGTTTGTGTGTGCGCCCAAAATTCCAATGAGATGGAGAAGCGACTGCAGTGTAACCACACCCCCATGGAGGATGTTTTCTCTTTGTCTCTCTCTGGTGCCTTCTGGTAAATTCAAAACAAAACAAAAACAGAAAGCTTCACCTGGTGAACTTTTAAAAGCTACTAAATGACCAGTATGTTTGTCTTTTTGAAAAAAAAGTCTATTATGCCTGCAGATATATTCAACCTCAACACTTTTTGCTACTAATAACTACACTGCTACAAAAATTTAAAAATCAAAATGTAAACATATAAAATACATTAGTAGTTTAAAGAACTTTTCTCATTTTAAACAAGGAAAAATAGCTATTATAAAAGGCAATATTTTAAAATTTCACATCCTTAGGGGAAAAAAATAAATATATGGATTTGAACACTTTTTACATCAATGCTTTTAAAATCAAAGCCCTGACCCCACAGAACATAAATCCATGAAATTCCAGATTTATAATGAAAGTAGATAGTTCTGTTCAGGGACCAGCAGTTAGTGTAATGGCTATGTCACTGGACTCCTATGTAGTTGACCGCAGTTTGAGTCCCCGACCCTGTGGCTTAAATTCATGCTGGGCGCATGTGCGGGCATGCCCAAGATTCCGAGAGGAGAATGGAGGAGAAGGGATTGCGGCGTGACCATCCCCCCTGGGGGGTGATTTCTCACTTTCTGTCTCTGTCTCTGTCTGTCTGTCTGGCAAGCACCGCGCCCTATAGCAAAAACCTCTCAAAATAAAAAAAATCTGTCCAGTGTTATATATAATCCTTAAAAATATTGGGTGGTTGGGAAAGTCAAGATACATTTTTGCACAGAAAAACATAGAAAAATATGTTGTGACTTTCCAGACAACCTAATGTAATCTTTTCTTTACTTCAAACCTAAACCAAGTCCACTTCTAGCATGTCATTTTTCAATTAAAACTCTCAAGAGACACAGAAGTGGGTTATTATAGGTTGATGATAATGTGTTTAGTATCCTCAGCTGGACTGGTGTGAAGTGTATTCATGTTAGGTAAATTCAACTTACAAGCAAAGTGATATACAGTGATTACATGTATAAAATTAAAAAGAAAGAAAAAAATCTCATTTTAAAAATTAAAAAAAAAATCTCAAGAGGCCTCTGGTTGTATTTACAATGAAGCGCTGCCTCCTGATTGCATTCCTAAGGCCTGTGTGACCTGCTCAGCTGATCTCTAACCTCTGGCAAGCCCTTTCCCCTCACCTCTCCAGCCAGCCTACCTTCTTTCAGGTCTTTCCCCCTCAGGGTATTTGCACGTGCTGTTCCCCCCTACCCGGATGGCACCTCTCCAGCATCCTGCACAGCTGGTTCTGTATCATTTAGGTCTCCGCTTTCCAAGTCATCTCCTCAGGAGCTGCACCCCAGTATTCTCTACTTCAGTACCGAGTCCATTTCTTTCATAACACGGACCACAATGCATAGTTTATGTGTGACATTTTTTGTTGTTTTGGGTAAACATTACAAATACCCTTTACTAATCATAAAGTTCCATGGAAGTGTAGAGTGTTTCATCACTCTGTAGCCAACATCTAGCAAAGTGTTTGTTGAAGGTAAATGAATGTCATTATAATATTTACACATTCCTGGTGAATCCACTGGATTGGTTTTTTTTTTGGAGAGATTTTCACTGTAGGGCGCGTGCGCTCGCCAGACAGACAGAGAGAGACATAGAGACAGAAAGCGAGAAATCACCCCCCAGGGGGGATGGTCACGCTGCAATCCCTTCTCCTCCATTCTCCTCTCGGGATCTTGGGCACGCACGCACACGCGCCCGGTGTGAGTTTCAAGCCACCGGGTCCGGGACACGAACCGCGGTCAACTACGTGGGAGTCCAGCGACATAGCCATTACACTAACTGCTGGTTCCCTGGATTGGTTTTTTACTCTAGTTTTCTTTTAGCAGCTATACCTTCAACTCTCACTCCAATACCTAAACAGCGTTCAGAATCCTTCGATTCTAGTTCTTCGCTTCGCAACAAAACTTGATCTCTACAAAGGATCTGGAAAAACAAATTGCTGGAAAACTGTAAGTAACTTCCAAGCCAGTTCTATTTCCTAGAGCTATAAGTACTAATTTAAAAGTGGTGATTTGGGGGGTGACACTTTATCACTGTAGACATCTGGCATCAGTTTTTTTTTCATCTGTTTCTCATAGTTGTAACCCAGCAGTACCAGAATCAGGTTCTTAAAGGCAAGCACTGTGACTATCTGCTCACACACGTACGCATTCACTTGATTCGTCACTTGTGATGAGCATTTTGATTATACAATGTAAAATATATGGTTCTGTAGTAATCCCTTACCGGAAAGAAACACGTTTGAAAACCACTTAAAGGCTCTGAAGAGAGTCAGACCTAGATAGGAATCCCAGCTTTGCATTTACTATCTGAGCCTTGGTTTTCTCATTTGCATGAAAAGGACAATAATACCTACGGTGAGAGATGTGAGAGTAACATTGAACAAGTCCTTCCAGCAGCTGTTTACTGAGTGATGTGTCAAGGCACTGAGAATATAGCAGTGACAAACGTTCCTGCCCTCACAGAGTTTACGTTCTAGTGGCAGAAAGCAGTTGAGAAATAAAATGCACTGTCTGTTGGATGGTGTTAAGTGCTAAGGACAACAGTATAAAATGGGGAAAGGGAAAGCATGCACGTGGGAGGTAGCCTGCATTTTTAGGTAGGGTGGAGGCTGGCTGCATTGTGAAGGTGGCAATTGAAAAAAGAAAGAAGGGAGAAAGCTAAGCAGATATTTGAAGAAAGAGCATTCATTCCAACAGTGAATTGTAACTGCCAAAGCTTTGCAGCACAAGTGTATCTGTTCTTAAAATAGTGCTTCTCACAGTATGCTCGCTGTAGTAGGACCTCGTTAGAAATACAGATTTACAGGCCCGATTTCAACCTACTAGATCATAATCCTTGGAGCTGTTTTAACAAGCTCTACCACTGATTCTTATCAAAGTTTAGTGACAGATACATAGTCTTCAGAAGCAGGTGCCCCTGGCTCTACATCACTCTTAACTATCTGTACTGCCTTATTTAATGGTTCTCAAATTTTAGGGTACATCAGTGTTGTGGTTTGAATGTGTCCCCCTAAAATTCATGTATTGAATCAGGTGAGGCATTGTAAGGGGATTAAGAAGGTGAAAACAATCTATGGCACTAAAAGGTGGGGCCTTTGGAAGGTGATTAGGATTTTGGTCATTAGTGTGGGGCGGCCATGATTGAATCCTGGAGGAAATGAGGAGAGGGAAAGAAACACAGAGACAGGCAAGCTCAAGCTCTTACTAGTGCCTGGGGACACCACCACCACCACCACGACCCTCACCACAGTATGGCACCTTGACTTCAGACCTCCAAAACTGTGAGCTAAGTAAACCTTTACTTTTTGTTTCTTTGTTTTGTTTTGTTTTGTTTTAAATACATCACCCTGATTCGGGTATTCAATTACTAAGCAAAAGAAAACTAAATCAATCACCTGGAATCTTTGTTAAAGCCCAGATTACTGGGTGCCTAAACCCAGAGTTTGTGGGTCACTGACTGGGTGGAAAGCCCCAATCCCTAACTGATGGTGAAGCTCCTTCCCGACCCTTGCAAACAGGCCTGTGTGCTCCAGCAGAGTCCTGGCCAAGTACTGGGAAGGGCGGTTTATAGGCCCCACACGCCATTGTAGGAGCACGGCCTTAAGATGCCCAGTGGGGAATAGTGATGGAGCCTGTGTTGTGAAAAGGCCACCATAACTGCCCTCGTTGAGACTGCAGAGAGACGCTACCGCAGTGTAAGGCGTGGGAAGCTGACGATGGGACAGGGCAAGAGGACAGTGGAGGTAACTGCGGGGCACTTGAAAGGTAAACCCCTAGAACCTGCTAATGCGTTAGAAGGGCCTGTGTGGAGTGGAGGATTTCAGATGACTTCAAGAATCCTGGGCCAGGCAGTGGAGGTCGATGGTCGCCAACACACGGTAAGTGTTCGGTAAACGGTGCGTTTTAAAAGCTCCTGTTGTAAGTGCTCAGCCGCGAGAAGCCAGAGGTGGCAGGGGAATCAGACAAGGTTCGGCATGGACATTCTATGCCTAGCACGCACCCCTCCGGTCTCACCCAAGCCTCCCCATGATGGAAGGGCACATTAAAAAAAAAAAAAAAAAAAAAAAAAAAAAGGTAGCCCCAGCACTTACTGCAGTTTATCCTCCTTTCCCTCCATGCGCCCCTACGGCCTGGCAAGAGACAGCCAGGAGCCCCATACGCGAAACGCGAACGCAGCCCTGCAGGAAAGAGGAGCCCTGAGCTTGGCCACTGTGACTCGGATGTTGCTAAGCGACCGCGGCCTTCAAAAGAGGCGTGGGGGGGGTTTGGGGGCGGGACCGAGGCGCGCAGGCGCAGTAACCTAGGCTCGGTGGTTGGCGAGCAGAGGCTGCGGTCCCAGCGCTGGGAGTTCCTGTTTGACCCACCCTAGGCGTTGTTGTGCGTTTGAACTTGACTTTTCCAAGGGCTAGGAAAGGGTATTTTTTCAGCAGACTCGGCCCTTGGCAGATCACCTAGGAGCCGTTTCCTCAGCTTCCTCCGCAGCCCGGGCTCCGCGGCTGGGGACCGCGCTGCCCGGTCTCTGGAGAGCCAGGCTGGACGTCGCCCCCAGCGCTGCCCACCCCTGCACGTGCTGGCTCCGAAAGTGTGGGCAGACAGAAAGAAAATTTGTTTTCCCCTAAACCATTAAATCCTATGCGAGGCGTGATTCGTTGTTCCTAGGCTGTCTAGCCTTGGCTGTAGCCGTTTTCCATGATTATTAACAAAACGTCTTTCCCGTCGGTCAGCAAGCATTAAAATAGAGCCAGGGAGCTCTCATCTGCAGCAGACTTGGCAGACGAGGCTCCCTGTGGTGTGTGCGTCTACTCGGGGCTGCGCAGTGCTCCGAATCGGACGGAGGAGCCTGTAGGCTTAGGCAGCAGCTTGGGGCTTGTACAAAGTAGCACTTATCCACAAGGCACAGGCTTCTGGGAAAGGAGTTGAAGACTTACATCCACCTTTTAGCCCTGGAATTTCTTACCTCATTTTACCACTGCCTCCTAGTTTCCACTACAAGAGCCAAACGTCGTTGGCAACTGCCGTGTAACTCTTACGCATTTCATGGTTAATGGGAAGAGGAACGTCCTTTGAATTTCTCTGAGTATGCTATAGGTCAGACTACACATGTGCATGTTTTATAACCCAGTCAGTAATAGAGTGTATAATTACATTTGTAGGAAACGCAGAGAGACATGGGCGAGCAGAGGTTGGTCCTGGGGCCTGTACATTCGTGAGCTAAAGTTCTGTCAGGAACACCAGTACAGGGACAGGTTTCCTCCATGACTGAGCATGTACTTTGTCGTTGAAAAGGCTGAGTATGTTTATGTGTGGGAAGCAAGAGTGGGTGGATAGGTAAGGGGAACGTGGATTGAAAACGAAGGCGTGGGGGAGACCACTAACATTTATTGAGATCCCACTTGGGAGTCTGGCACTTGTTAGACACTACATTAAACACCACTTGGTTTTATCCCAGCCATCCAACTGTCATTAGGAGTGGATGCCTGGGGAGCAAACAGTGTTTGAATCTTGGCACCACTACATTCCAGCTAGTTCACTTAGACAAAATCTAACCTCACCGAGTTAACTTCTTCATCCAGAAAAATGAGAAAATACATAAGGTGTAGACTATTTAATACAGGTGGAATAGTGGGAGCGGTACATGATGCTCAGGAAATGTCTAATCATTATTAGCTATTATTTTTATTAAGCAATTTGACCTGCATATGTGGCTACATATCTTTGAGGCTTAGCTGGCTTACTCATTCCCCCTGGTTTCTATTTTGACCTTCACCAAACTCTTCAAGCATCTAAATCCACCTGCTCACAGTCTAAACTGTTTGGTGAGGAAACAATGGTATTTTCTTAGCTTGCTTTCTTTCAGACCAACAAAACTACCCGCACCTGTACAGGATGAGAGTTGTTTGCCTGTAGTCATTGAGCAATATGGCATTAGTCAAAAATAGAAATACATCGACCTGGCCAGGTGACACAGTTGGAAGTGTGTTGACTTGCAGCATTGGAGGCCACAGCGCCCAGTTGACGTGAAACATGCGTGGCGGGAGCTCATGTGCAAGATCTTGGAGCTGGGGGCAGGGGAGGGTGATGGCAGTGTGACTAGGTTCTGTCAGGGGTGCTTCCTTCCCTCACATGTGCAAGCATGTGCTCTCTATCATGGATAAAAACCAGCCAAAAAAAATACGTAGCTCTCTGTTAACCAGTTTGTAAATATTTGGGGTTTGATTAAAGTCTGAGAAACCTTCAAAAAAAAAAATAGTGTCTACATAAGGAAGTCACATACAAAGCATACACACAGGAAATACTGTGAACACATGGCAGTAATACCGAACAGTGTTCTGTAACTGATGGTGATGTGTAAGGTTTCAGTAGTGATGATAAAATAGTATTGTAATAATGGGCCAATTATGTTTTCTTAGAGTATCCTTTACAGGATGCTCTATAGTATATATTTTATAATCACTATTGACATCTTATTTATATAGAAAAAAGCCTTGGGCTGCTATTAGTGGTTTGTACTAATAACTGACCTAGGAGAGACACTTAAACCTCTGCCCTGTAGATTTTTACTTATGAAAAGAGGTAGCCAGATCATCTTTATGCTCTCTTCCAGATGTAAAATAGTGATTCTACTGGAAGGACCAGCAGTTAGTATAATGGCTATGTCGCTGGACTCCCATGTAGCCAACTGTGGTTCGAGTCCCAGACCCAGTGCCTTAAACTCACGCCAGGCACGTGTGCCTGCATGCCCAAGATCCTGAGAGGAGAAGGGATCGTGGTGTGGCCATCCCCCCTGGTGGGTGATTTCTCGCTTTCTATCTCTCAGTCTTTCTGGCAAGCGCTTGCACCCTATAGCAAAAAACCTCTCCTAAATAAATAAATAAATAGTGATTCTACTGGAAAAACTGGGGAGAAAAAAAATCAGTGAATGTACTATCTTAAATAATATTGGGTTGTTGTCCTTTTGGCCAAAACCGCCATCTTCCAGTAACTAACCATAATGTCAAACTTTTTTTTTAGAAGAGGCACCCGATATATGTTATCTAGGCCTTTTAGAAAACATGGAGTGGTTCCTTTGGCAACATATATGCGAATCTACAAGAAAGGTGATATTGTAGACATTAAGGGAATGGGTACTGTTCAAAAAAGAATGCCCCACAAATGTTACCATGGCAAAACTGGAAGAGTCGACAATGTTACCCAGCATGCTGTTGGCATTGTTGTGAACAAGTTAAGGGCAAGATTCTTGCCAAGAGAATCAATGTGTGTATTGAGCGTATTAAACAGTCTAAGAGCAGAGATAGCTTTCTAAAACATGTGAAGGAACATGACCAGAAAAAGAAAGAAGCCAAGAGAAAGGTACCTGGGTTTAACTAAAGCGCCAGCCTGCTCCACCCAGAGAAGCACACTTTGTGAGAACCAATGGAAAGGAGCCTAAGCTACTGGAACCTATTCCCTATGAATTCATGGCTTGATGGGGGTTAAAAATAAACTAATGTGGTCTATAAAAAATAAAAATAAATAAAATAATAATGGGTTGTTGGAAAAGTTGTGAAATATTTTTTCTGGTTTTCTATGCAAAAATGCATCATGAGCTTTCTGATGACCCAATGCATGTAATTTTATCTGTGATAGGTAGGTTGGATACTTGTTTATGAGATAATTCAAAGAAGTTTACTAATATGTGCAAGACAAAAATACCAGTTCTATTTGAGCTAGAATGCCATATGTGAGAGAGGGTAACAGCATGGAAATTGCTCATCTGAAATGTTATAGATGCAGGAAATTGTCAATACTGTTTTTTCAAACCATAGGAAAATACCAAAAATGAACAATTGTATAACGATATTGAAAAGTTAAGGTTCAGGGAGATCCAGCTTCCTCTCAGATTTTCTTCAGTGATTTCAAAAATATAATGTAAATAAAAGCCAGCCCTAATTCTATTTTTAAGAAACAAATTGGAAACAGCAGATGGCATAATGGTTATGTTGCTGGATTCTCATGTGGTCAAGCATGGTTTGAGTGTTGGACGCATGTGCATGCATGCCCAAGATCCCAAGAGGAGAATGGGGAGGAAGGGATTGAAACACAGTCATCCCCTCTGGGGTGCACTTTCTCGCTTTCCATCTCTTTGGCAAACGCACATGCCTTATAGCAAAAATCTCAAGAAAGGAAAAACAAATCAATTATTTTCCTCAATACATGTGTTGTAAAGATTAAATGAGAAAATACATTATCCTGTCACATTATAAGCATTCATTTAAAAGTTACCTGTTATGGGACACCCTATAGGACAGGGCTGGGTACTGTGCATTAGGAGCCAAAGTCCCCCATGGCTGACTGAAGTTTGAATTCTAGCCCCGATGGCTTGGACAGGACACATCGGGTTCATGTGTGCCCAAGGTCCTGACAGAAAAGGGGATTGTAGTATGACTTTACTCCATAGCAGGATGGAGACAAGTAGGTACTTTCTCTCCCCTCCATCTCTCAGGCAAGTGTACTTGACCTCTGGCAATGATGATAATAAAAGTTGTTAGACCAAGCTGTGTAGTACACTGATTGATGCTGCTACTTGGCAGCTGAAGGTGTGTGGGTGGCCCAAGTTTGATTCCCAACCCATCCTAAAAGCTGGGTATGGTAGTGTGCCCCAGCTAGTCATGAGGCTGAGAAAGGAATGGAGCACAGCAAGACTGTCTTAATAATTGTAATAATAATGATAAAAACTAGAGTAGCCATGGCACAGAGGTAACACAATGCTCTTCAATGCTGGGCCTACATAGGAAGGCCCCAGGTTTGAGTTCTGAGACTTCTCTATAAATGGCCTTCTGGGCACCATGGCCATTTCGGCTAGCAGAGTTTGGGGACAGATCACAACATGAAGGCCCTGTTGCTGGGAGTCGGGGTGTGGGAGTGTGTGCCTTTCTCTGTGTGTTTCATGAAGAATTTTTTTTTTTAAGCTGGAAAAAATGGGTTTTTAGTAATCTTATTTTCATGATTAGTAGGGTAGAAGATTTATCAAGTGGATGCATCATATTGCCTGTCTCATCTTCAACTATAAGAACTTTGTCAAAACAAAATAGATATTAATTTCAAGGCAATGAGACTGAACGATATTAGGTTAGGATTGTCCCCCTTCGAAGATGGATAGGCTCAAATGAATCACAGATTTGAAAGAGATCTTGAGTTTCTCTGATCTAATTTTAAAACTCACTTAGATCATACTTTTAAGAGGCATG